GTACGCGGGCCTCTCGCTGTTGTGGCCTCTCCCGCTGCGGAGCACAGGCTCCGGACGCGCAGGCTCAGCGGCCATGGCTCACGGGCCCAGCCGCTCCGCGGCATGTGGGATCCTCCCGGACCGGGGCACGAACCCGTGTCCCCTGCATCGGCAGGCGGACTCTCAACCACTGCGCCACCAGGGAAGCCCCCTCCATTGCTTTTTTACTGCGCACTTAGGATAAGCCCGCCACCGAACCTAAGGCTTTACCCAGAGCATCTCATTTAATCCCCACAACAACCGTACACAGCAGGGTTATCATGACCCCGGCTCACAGGGGAAACAAGTTCAGGCAGAACTCCCAGTTCGGTGCCCTTCCCCCCCCACCGCCCGAACACTCGGCCAGTACCGCGTTCAACTCTTACCAGCTCGCCTCCTCTACTCACCCAAGCTACCCCCTACCCTGGAAAACCAAAGCCTAAAACGAGAACAATCCAAGCTTACCCAGCGGCAGGTCTATAAAAACCCAATTGTCTTCCATGAAAAACATGGAGGTGCTGCGAGGCCACCAGAGGTGGGAGCACCTAAGGCGGGGCAGCTCCCGTGGGTTCAGCCGCCAGGCTCCCCCGAACGGCTGCCGGGGGGGCTCAGAAGCCACCCCCACCCCCCGCCGGACCACTGGAGCAACTGGCAAAGGGCACCACTCGGGGCCCCAAAGGGGATGAGTGCAACTGGGCCGGAGGGTGGCCCCCAGACCCAGGTGCGGGCGGCGGAGAGGAGCCGGTTGTTCGCTCTCGTACCTGCATCCCGGGTCCAGCTTCCACTCGAGCGACAGCCGTGCCCCTTCCAGCCCAGGAGGCCAACTGAAGTCAACAGCTTTCTGGCCGCGCTCAGAAGCGGCCCTTCCTCCCTCACGCCTTCTACATTCCGTCTCCGGGGGAGGCTCACGTGGGCTCCCACGTGGGAGCCATTTACACCAGGGAAAGCAGCAAATGCTATACATCAGGCCCCGCCCCAGCCAGGTGTTAACTGTTTACCTGCGGGCCTCTGCTCAGGAGGACCTGCAAGGCCCGTGGAAGAAGCCGGTCAGCAGCGGGGGGAGGGGCGCAAGCAGGCATTTACAAGGAAAAAGAAAGCTTATTAGCAGAAGTTCAGTCCTCCCAGGAGAAGCAGGGTGGGGAGGGCCCAGGCCCCTTGGTCCCACCCCGTCATCTTTCAAGGAAGCAGAAAAGAGAAGTCTTTGCTCTGTCCAAGGCTTCACAGCCAGGGGAGAATCAACCCCAGATCTCCCGGCTCCAAGACGGTACTGCTGCTAAACCAAGGGGTCCCCACAAACCAAACAATATGCCCCCCACAAACCAAACTCCGACAGCTACCTCGGAGTTGATGCAGGGCAAGGGAAGGCAGGTGGTGGAGGTCTCTACAACCACAAGTAGCTAGGTTTAGAGTCAGTTGCCCCATCTCCCTCCTGGCCCCAGGGTTCCTTGCCTCCCTGCCCCAAGACGGGGTACCAGCCAGCTTAGCGAGCAGGTGGACAGCATTCCCGGAGTGAGCTGGCCCTTCAAGGGGATGGGTTCAGGGTGAGGTTATGTCCATCAGCTTTCAGGACAAATTCTTGGCTTATTAATTCTCCTCTGTTCCGCAGGCAAAAGTAAACAAGCTTTTCTCAGGCGGCCCAGCACGGAGGCCTTCCCTATTCAAACACTGCAAGCATCGACAGGCTTGGAAATACTGAGCTCCCAGGCCCCGCTTCCCAGGGGGCCCCCTGGCCTCCTGCCCACAGCGTCCCTCCTGCTGAGATGAGGAGAGCAGGGCCTCTTTGTGGTGGCAGACCCCAGAGTCCCAGCGCCCGCAGTCTAGACCTGGCCCGAGTTCTCCAGAAAAAGCATCACAGATTCTGACCATTCGGAGACCCAGAGAAGGTCACAAAGGGTCCGGCCAAGGACACAGCATCCCAGCAAGCATCACACCTGCTCACTTAGCCCCTCTGTGGAGAAAGCACTTTGTTAAAGGGTGTTCATTTCCTGTTTGCATCCATTTAAACCATGTTTTTAAACTTCCAGAAAGAAGAAAGGAAATAAACAGTGACAAAATCAAAAGGAGGTAACTGAGAGTTGACAGAGACTTTTCAAAGAAAAATGCTACAAGTGTTTGTTAGTTGCCCAGGAATCTTTTGTCTGGTTGAGCGGAGATCGTTGCATGTTTTACACCAGCTTCTTGTGGTGCGTACAGAAATCTCATGAGTTGTTTCTTGCTTCTCCTCTATTGTTGTTTCCATTTGCCCATTTCTAAGGTGGAAGGAAAAAGCCAAAACCACTGCAAGAAACCTGAAGGCAAGGTTGCAAGGACCAGAAAGATGGGAGGTGAGAGAGAGAGAGGGTGAAGATACGCCTTGTCCTTGGATGAGCTGCGTTCTCAGCCCCGGTGAGTTCTGATGGGACTCATGTCACAGCAAGGAAGCGAGAATCGCGACTACATTAACTGGAAGTGTCTTCTCGCTTCAAAACTGCTCTACCAGAGAGCTGAACTAACTGGGCTGTTCCTTTTATTGTGTTTTTACCAAAGAGCTTCCTCATCCTGCCTCCCAGGCACCTGTCATGCTGCTTCCTTCATCCCCTTCCCAGCACTATTTCTCCTGTAAGTGTCCCCCGGGGCTCAACCAAAGGTGACCGCAGAAGACCCTGCCCAACAACCCAAGACCAAAATATCTTTGGTTTTCCCCGGTGTAGCCTCCAGCACTCCCTGAAATTTTCTGTCCTTTCCTCTTTGAGGGCTGTTTGGTGATGGTGCACATCCAAGTTCTGAATCCGTTTTCTCTCAAGTTCCCAGGGCATGGCCAATATTCAAAAAAAAATCCAGTCTATTCTAATATATTCAGGTGGGGACTTCCCTGGCGGCCCAGTGGCTTAAGACTCTGCACTTCCACTGCAGGGGGCGCGGGTTCGATCCCTGGTCAGGGAACTAAGATCCTGCAGGCTGTGCCACGTAGCCAAAAATAAAAATTGAAAAACTATTCAGGTGACCACATGGGTGCACAGACCTCCCCAACAGGTGGATCTGGGGAGGAGCAAAGGGGTTCCCAGAGCTGACACTGATGTCCCTGCAGGGCCCCACTGTCACCCTTCCTGCCCCCCATTCCCACTCCAAGTACCAGTACACAAAAGCCCCATGTGACCACAGGCCCAGGGCGCTGGGTACAGCATGGCCTGCTCTCCTGGTGCCCCCTCCAGCCAGGCTCCGAGCCCTCTCTGTACCCAAAGCCAGGACTGGGTGACCCTTCTTGTACCAAGGACTGGTGACGTCCACGGACGTCACAGTGACATTTTTACTTTCTCACAGTAATGTTTTTAAATGCAGAAATAAAATCCATAGGACTACAAAGGAAACTAATCAATACTGAAATACACTTAACCCAAATATTTCCAAAACCCCAGGTTTAGGGTACAGTTACGTAATGTATGTGTTTCTTTATTAATGATTATAAATCAGGATCTAGCAGCAGGTCTGGTAACTTCCATCATTCTGAAGCAATTTAGTGAGAGTAATACTATTCCATGATAGCTGCACCAACTCTAACGTGATGTGAAAACGGCTGGGATTTCTGCTGGTGGCCACATCACTGATGTTGCTGGCCCGGCTATGGTTTGTGGCCCATCTTTGCAATAAAGGAAACTCTTTTTTTTTTTTTTTTAGGTCGCACCACACAGCACGCAGGATCTTAGTTCCTCGACCAGGGATCGAACCCACACCCCCTGCAGTGGAAGTGCGGACTCCTAAGCACTGGACCAACAGGAAAGTCTTTTTTTTCTTTTTTTCCAGGAAACTCTTGATTTCAGTTAGAAGGAAGGGACAGTGAGGGGGTGAGTCTCTTCCTGTCCCAATTCATGCCCTCCCCCCAATTATGTTTGTGGACCCCAATGCTCTAGAATGCGTTTTTCATCCCCACCACCCGTCTCCTTCCTTCTCTGCAACCCTGAAAGGAGTCACCCCCAGCTCAGGTGGCCCTGGGCTGGAAGGCAGCTTCTTACCCTCGCTGGCTGAGCAAGAGGAATGTGGCTTTGAGGGTCCCAGGCTTGGGAGACAGGCTAGCCTTAGGCACCATTCTTGGAAGGGACATCGCAGAAAAATGCCCTGTGGCTCCATCATCCTCAGTCCAGCCCAGGGGTACCACTCATACCAACCAGCACCCCGATGCTGGTTCAGAAGAGTCTGGCCCCTCTAACCCCCTTCCCCAGGCCCCACCCCACCCCATGGCAAAAGCAGGAAAGCAGCAAAGGGGGAAGCCTACCTTCGGGCTCTTCCACGCTGCTGGCTGCAGTGGTCGGCGGTGCCACGGGGATCTCTGTGTGGGGTTCAGGATGGGAGGAAGGGGAAACAATAAGAACATGTTACAGAAGAAAGAACACAGTGCAGACTCCTCCCAACCTTCCTGGGCCCTCCCTCCCAGCCCCACTCCTCGCCCCAGGAGAGGATGGTCAGGGAGGAAGGGAAAGCCGGCGTGAGGGCCCGGGCACCCTACCTGTTCTCTTCTGGAAGCCGTCCCTCTGCCTGGCAGGGACAGGAGAGAGGGGAAGGCAGGACCCTGACCTCTCTGCTGTCTGCATGTTGTTGACTCACTTCGGCCCCTGGGGCAGAGAGAGGGGTCCCCAGGCCCCCTGCTCATCACGATGGGGCTGCGTGGCCCGGTCTGACCTTGACTCACTGGTGGGGAAGGGGATCCATGGCAGGGTTGGCATGTGAGGGGCTGGGAGGTGTCTTCCATGTGCAGAGAGGGGACTGCACCCCTGGCCCAAGTTCCCCCGGGCTCACATCTCGCATCTCACAAGCTAAGGCATTTTCTCGGCGGGCAGAGAAGACTGACAGTACAGAAGACCGCAGGGCCTGACAGAAGCATGTGCTTTTTTGTGACCATTCCTCTCCTACCTAGAACGGCAACTAGCTTCTCTACAAGCTCCCGCCCGGTGCTCAGAAAAGGTGAGGAACTTCAGCCAGACTCCGGGAAGACGCAGGCTTCACGTCTCCGGCTTCCTCTTTCTAGACGAGGCCAAACCACGAACCGGAAGTCCCTGAGGGACAGGGGCTCACCTCCCCTGCTGAGTGACCATGTGAACAGGGGGTCACAGAGGCCTCCACGAATCCCACTGATTCTGGCCACCATCTATTAGGGGTAAGACCTCCCTCAGACCCCCAGAGTCTAGATTAGCTGCAATCTGAGGCTTGGGGGGTTGAGATGGAACACCCGGGGCTGGGGGCAAACGTGAGGGTCACCCACAGAAGCCACAGCCTCTGCACCTTCAGAAGGAACAGGCAGGAGACCCAGCCCTCAATTCGGAGTCAAGTCTTGCTCTCGGGTGATTTTATCCGCGACAACAAGCCACAGGTGCCCCGTCACAGCAGCTCATTAAGAAGCCGGGCCTCCTAGCAGGCCCTCTCTGAGCCTTCATGAGCTACCTGGCCCAGCAGGAACATTCCAGAGGGAAATCCAGACAGCCCAGCCTAATCTTACAAGTCCAGGAATGGGGCTGGGGCCAGTGGCCATGGAGGCACCCTGGCTGCCCAAGCCCAGCTCCTTAGGCCTGGCTCTGGGACGTGAGCAGAGGGCCCCGGGGCTCCCAGAGCTGTTGCGAATCAGACACAAGTGTCCAAGGCACTGCCTGGGCACCTGTAGCCTGATGCCGGCAGAAAGAGCTCACAGAAATCCCAGGATGGAGAGCCGGGTCTTCAGGTCCTTGGTGGGAATGCTTTCCCCAGCATCAGCCTGCCCTTTGCGAGAGGAAGGGAGATGGTACAGAGCATGTTGGAAAGTGACAGTTCCAGTCTCCCAAGGTTTCTGTCCCTAATTCTGAAACATCAGCTCCATTTCAAGGCCTTTCCCCCTGGGGGATTTGAAATGTTGGTTTCAGCCATTTCTGGGAAACCCAACAGCTCCTGACTCCCTTTAAAAGGGACACCTCACTTGCTTCCTTCATGTTTTCATAAGCCCAGATGGTGGTGCTAATTTCCTCCCAGCTTTCTAAAAATGTTCACCTTGCAGCTTTCTGGATGGACGGAAAAGAAAGACTCTTGCAAGCTGTGAGACCCTGACAATTAGATGTCTTGAAAACTCATTTCAACCTTCTCTGCCCTGGATGGATACAAGCTCAATTTCCCATGGCTTGAATGTAGGTTATCCGCTGTTACTGGACCCCTGCCAACAAGGAAACATCTCCTGATGTAGAAACTGGTCAGAAAAGCTGCTGGAACCCACACGGCTCGTCGTGTCCTGGACGTGAGGCCGCACTCAAGTCGGGCAGCTGAGGTGTTGGGGGTTTAAGCCTCCTGCCCGGTGTGAGAACATTCCCTGCAAGATCTAGGGGGTCACTCCAAGAACCCCAAGCAGCTGCCGGGCTGAGGGGTCCCCACCCTCCTGCTTCTGCCTCACGTTGTTTGTTCCAAGCCCCTTGTGCCTGACCTGAGAACCCTGTGCCCACCCAGAGCTACAGGACGCTGGAAAACCTCAAGCAGGGGTTGGCCGACTTCTCCTGCCCAGGGCCAGCTCGCAAAGATTTTAGGCCCTGCAGGTCGTAGGGTCTCTGTTGCAACTACTCAATTCTGCCGTTAGAGCCCCAAAGCCGCCACAGGTAGCACGGGCACAAGTGGGCACGGCCGGTCCCATAAAACTTTATTTATGGACACTGAACTTTTCCTTTCGTATCATTTTCTCATGTCATAAACTAGCAGTCTTTTAATTTCTGTTTCAATCATTTTAAAAAGGTTAACAAAAAACCCAAAACCCCAGCGAGCCACATAAAAACAGGCAGTGGGCCAAATCCCCGAGCAGAGTGTGCTAACCCCTGCTCCAGAAAAAAAGCCTTATCCTTGGTGTCTGCCTAGTAGGCTAGGATTCACGCGTTCTTCCCCCTCCTTTCCGGGTGCGGGTCAGCCCTGCAATGGAATCAACGAGGCTGAGGCCAGGGGCCAGCACCCAACCAGGCCTGACTTCCATCCAGGGCTAATCCAGCTCATAACACCTGTGCAATCCTACCAGTTGTAAGATGTTAAAACTCTTCCGAGCCAAGGCTCCTGAGCGACCCCCCCCCCCATCTTACTCACGCCCCGCCTCAAGTTCCAGCAACTAAGGGGCTGACAGCTGGCCTGCCAGGGCCTCTAGGACCCTCATGGAGTGCTACCACCCTTCCAAAGGGCGCATGGGAGCCGTGCCGCCTTCTCTCAAAGGCCTTGTGGAGTCCATCCTTTCAGTTCTGAATCTGTCAGGGGCTGGGGATCCTGGAATTCCCGCAGCAGCAGTGGCAGCCCCTGACCCAGGCCCCCCAACCCAGGCCCAGGCCCAGGGTCAAGGTGGAACATGGGAACAGGACCTGGGCTGAGGAGAGCGGCTTCCTTCCCCCCCTCACCCCACACCCTGGGAGCAGGAGACTGTCTTTTCAGGACAGAGAGCCACAAATGGGCTGGCTCTGCGGACACCCCCGCAGCCTTGGGGGTCTCACACGGGCTCCCCAAGCGCAGAGGGCCACCTCAGGGAGCACTACCCCCACTGGATGCGGGTGACCCATGTCCGGGAAGGGCCCCCAAGCCCCGAGCCCGCACCCGACCCCAGCCTGCAGGAGGAGGGTGCCCTGGCATACTTATGCAGGGGGCGATGGGGGAGCGGCTCTGTTGGTAGCCCTTGGCACAGCGGTTGCAGGTGATGCCGGTCACACCATCCTTGCAGGGGCACTGGCCCGTGGTCTGGTTGCAGGTTTTGCCAGCGGCGCCCACAGGGTGGCAATCGCAGGCTGTGGAGAACACACGACAGGGGGGTCAGAGGTGGGGGTGGGCGTGGGAATGGCCAGAGCACACCCTCCCCCCAGGGTACTCCCCACCCAGTGGCGCCCCGGACCCCATCCCAGGGGAAGAGCAGGGCTGGGGGAGCTAAGCCCGCACACATTCCAGAAGCTCCGATGCCTGACCACCTGCCTACCTGGAAACAGGGGAATGAGAATCAGAAGGGGCCGACTTGAAAGGACCGCCTGGGGGGCAAGGGTGAAGTGGGGGAGCCCTTCCGAAGCCCCGGAAGGTGTACACAGCCCACGGGCTGAGCGTGAGTGCAGGAGTCAGAACTGGGGGTACGCCTGCCCCTCACAGGCTGCTTTGTGCCCTGTCACTCCTCTGCCCCAGCCAGCTCCTGACCCTCTGGGTGGGAGGGACAGAGTGTGGGGCGTGATGGAGCCCCGGGGTTTGCCAGGCCAGGGAGTCACCGAGGGGGTGTGACCGAGGGGGTGTGACCTCCCTCCAAGGCTGCGGCCTCCACTCTGCTCTGTCCATTCACCCTGATTTGCAGCCAGGCAGAGTCTGAGACACAGGCTTCTGGATCACAAAGCCCATCAACTGTAGCGCTAGGAAGAGTCACAGCGATCATGTAAAGACCCCGATTAAATGCGAAGACTCGAAGGTGAAGGAACCCCCAGGACCTTGCGGAAAGGGAATGGCCAAGCTGGGAGGTGCCGTAAGGCCCTGATTCTTAGGCCAGCCGCTGCTGTACCCCACACCCCTCCTCCTAATTTGGAACGGGCTAAAGAGCTGGGATTGCCCACCCTATCACGCTGCACCCTGAGGCTCCCTCCCTGTGTTCCAAGGACCCCATCCCAGTGATGAAATGGCCAGAGGAGTTGGAGGGAACATCCCCCCTATTATGGACTGAATGGCTGTGTCCCCACCTGCAGATCCATATGTTGAAGCCCTAACTCTCAATGTGATGGCATTAGGAGGTGGGCCCTTCCCTTGGGAGGTAATTAGGTTTATTTATTTATTTTATTTTAAAAAGTATTTATTTATTTTTGGTCGCTTTGGGTCTTCATCGCTGCGTGCGGGCCTTCTCTAGTTGCACTGAGCAGGGGCTACTCTTCGTGCGCGGGCTTCTCACCGCAGTGGTGGTTTCTCTTGTTGCGGAGCACGGGCTCTAGGCGTGCGGGCTTCAGTAGTTGCGGCACGTGGGCTCCAGAGCACAGGCTCAGCAGCTGTGGCGCACGGGCTTAGTTGCTCCGCGGCATGTGGGATCTTCCTGGACCAGGGCTTGAACCCGTGTCCCCTGCATCGGCAGGCAGATTCTTAACCACTGCGCCACCAGGGAAGTCCGGTAATTAGGTTTAGATGAGGTCATGATGGGATTAGCACCCTTATGAGAAAAGGAAGGAGACGAGATATCTCTCTACACAGCAAGAAGGCAGTAGTGGTCTGCAAACCAGGGAGCAACTGTCGTCAGACACTAAATCTGCAGGCACATCGATCTTGGGCTTCTCTGCCTCCAAAACTGTGAGAAATACCTGTTGTCGAAGTCACCGGTCTGTGGTGTCTTGCTACGTCAGCTAGTGGAGTAAGATTGCCACCAACTCCACAATGCTCGGGCAAGAACTGTGGGACCTGCAGACACAGGTCACCTGCCTCCCTGGACCTAGGCGGTGGACTCAGCGCGGGCAGGGAAGTGGGCGCAGGATGAAGGAGGCCGAAGTTCTCCCCGGATCCCTGGGGCGCCCCTTGCCCTCCCCACTCCCCCTCCCTCCCCAGGGAAGCCAGGCGTGGCTGAGAAGAATTAGCAAGAGAAAGGAGTGGGGAGGGCGAAAGGAGAGGTATGGGAGGAATCGTTTGTCAAAGTTGTGTCCGGACACGTGAGAGCCTGTGGAAACTCTGGGAGCGGGGTGCTCCGTGTCAGGTGAGAGCACGGCAGGGACCACAGGCCTGGGGGAGGACGTGGAACTGTCCCAATCCTGCCCCTGTAGACAGCAGCAAACCCTTCTGTTAGAAACCTGTCTAAAATCTACGCTACATGCAAGTTCGTTTCCTACCGGTTTTTTCTTCTCCCGGAAGGTGGGAGACGACCTCTGACCTCAGATCCATCCCTGTGATGGGAAGGGTGACGGGGCACGGACAGCGTCTCTGAGCTGGCCTGGCGACAGCAGAGGGCCACAGCACAGGACCCTGGCGTCCCAAGCCCCTGCCGCGGCTGTGGGCACCAGGCAGATGTGGAGTCCCGAGGCTCCTGCCAGCTGACCTCGCTTGGTCGGCCTCGCAAGCCTGCTGGTAGTCCTAAAACCCGGGCCAAAACGTCCTCCCCTCCGTGCTGACAGAGCACAGCTGCGTGCCAGTAACTTCTGGGCCTTGGACTTGGCTGGGAGATCACCAAAGGCTGCTTGGTCCCTGGAGGGTCAGAGCCAAGTCACCCGCAGGCCCAGGTCGTCTTTACTGAGGCAGGAGCCAGCCCGGAGCAGAATCTGGGGGGAGCAGCGTGCATCGCCCTCACCCGAGGCCCTTCGAAGCTGGTGACTCCTTAACCCCCCAGGCTGGTGGGCTGCCGGGCACCAGCTGAGGTCAGCAGAGCTGCGGGCCACCCTGGGTGATGGCAAGGCAGAACGTCTGCTTCATGGAGCAGGCACATCCTTAGGGCCATCCTTCGGGCGCTTCGCTGTGTGGTTTCCACATCTTTCTCCCAGGATTCCGCAAAGACGCTGACCGACTGGCCCTTGGTCTCACAGAGGCAGCAGGCTGACTGTGCTTCATCGAAAATCACTGTTCCAGGAAGAGAAGCCAGCAGGGTCCCACAGGGTGGGGGGCCTCAGGAGGCTACTCAGGTCACCTCCAGGGTGGTGGGACCATCCCCAGGGGTGGAGCGCTCCTGCAGCACCGGCCTGCCACCTGGACGCCTGGGAACACCTGAGCACATCCACTCTCCTGTATGTAATGCTTCTGGCCCTCACATCAGCCTGTGAAATCAGTAAGACCATACAGAGGAGGGCACGGACCGGGAGACAGAAAGCGCCTGACCTCTGAGCACGTCACCGAGGGCCCTCACACTCTAGACTGCCCTTCTGCGCTTCTTGTTCTGCAAGGAGACATACACACTTCCCTGTTAAAACCCAGGCCAGGTGACATCCCTTACGTGCAGCCGAATGCAGTCCCAACACAGAGACTTGCATTGCACTCATTCTCAATTCCGAGCTAAACGGCCCCAAAGTAAAGACTTTTCCCAAAAGCCCATGAATAAGGAAAGCCTAAGTTATACCCTCTGTGCAAAGAAGGGTGAGCTTCAAGGTGTGAAGAGAACTGATGGATGCCAACAGCCCACAGAGGGTCCTCTATAGCCTTGGACCAGGGAATCCAGCTAGCAGTGTCATAGGAAGCGGGCCTGAGCTGCCCACATAGGAGGCCCCAGCCCTGGTCCTTAGGGAGATAAAGCCAAAGGGATCCTGCCATATCCCTACAACCCCCAAACACACCCAGACACACAAACACACATAGATTCCTACAGGCTCTCAGGCACGCACACACGCACACACAGCACCACAGTGGGCAGGGGAGCGGATGGGGACGAGCTGAGCTGGGAGGATGCAGATGTGAGGCAAGTGGAAGTCTCTTCCTTGGCAGGGGGTCTGGATAAGGGGACAAAGCGAGAGCCTCTCTGATTCTTCCGAGAACGAGGTCTGGGTCAGAATGTCTTCTGCCACGAGAAGCCCATTTGGTGACTCCCGTTTCCTGGGAAGTCAGCAACTCCTTTACAGAGGAGGTCAGGCCCTTACCCGGCAGGTCACCCGTGTGCACGCGGCAGGCAGCACCTGGTCCTGGGAAACAATCTACCGGAGGGTTTTTCCATGAAGAGGAAGGTGAGACCAAGCGGAAGCCCAGGGCCCTGAGAAGGCGGCTGGATTATGTTTCTCTCGAACACATGGGCTGGAAGGCCTCCCGGCGCAGAGGAGACGACAGACTGTCCTTGCTCTGGGTCAACGGACAGCTCAGGACACACAGATGGTTTCAGATGAGTGTCAAGAGACCCTGCCCTGCCAGTAATGCTGTGTGACCCTGAGCTAGTGCCTCACTCTTTCTGAGCCTCGGGTGACTCATCTCTAAGGCAGGAGGTCTATAACTTGCACTAAGGTTGCTTCCAACTCAACAGGCTAAGATCCAGGGCAGTGGGCTGTCCCCTGGGCCCGTCACCCCGACTGCCACAGTCCATTGCAGTGACCTGGCCCAGGGGTCTAGGAAAGTGCTCCTGCTGCCAGGCACACACCAGGCCCTGCCTCCACACCCATGGGCCACCCCACCCAACACCATGACCTGCTGCACTGGGCTAGAATCTCCTCTCTGATATTCGGGTCGTCAGCTACGAGAAGTGTACCACGGTTGCCAAGAGCCCCTGCAAAGCTGACCTGGAAGGCAGGCCGGTGGAGCAGTTATCAGGGTCCCCGTGATGGCCAGGGTCCCTCTCAGCTCTGATCCCTCGTTGCTGGTCCCGAGCAGCTGCCTTTCCTGCTCTCTCCGACACTCTCTGTCCTGGACCCTTGAAGGCCCACAGCTCCCATCAAGAAGAGAGGCATGCCTGGGGCTGGCCCCTCTCCACTGCAGCTCAAGCCCTGGCTCTGGAAACCCATCCTGTGTTCCTATCAGGACATCTACCTGCTTTTCCTGAGGACCCGGCTCCAGGGGCCCTCAAATGGCAGTGATCCCAGGACACATGCGTGTGGAGGAGACGGTAGTGGGCCTGGCACCCAGACCCTCTGGAGCAGCTCCAGACAGGAGCGGGAGAGAAAACAACCGCAGCACCAAACCTCACCTCAGATGTCTTCACGGCCACCACCCAGGCCTCCAGCCAGTTGTGAACTCGTGTTATGAACTGAATGATGTCCCCCCCAAGAATTCAAATGTTGGAGTCCTAACCCCAGTCCCTCAGGATGTGACTGTACTCACAGACAGGCTCTTTAAAGAGGTGATTAAGGTAAAATTCAGTCACTGGAGTGGGCCTCAATCC